GGCCATAGTTTGAGGATACCTGGTCTATACTATAGGCCACCCAACCAAACAGAGGAAATAGATGAACTTTTTGCTAGTCAGCTAACTAAGGTATGTAGGAAGCACATCACAATAGTAATGGGGGATTTTAACTACCCTGACATCAACTGGGAGACAAACTCTGCACCAAGTGGAAGATCCAACAGGTTCCTAACAAACCTAGCAGACAACTTTGTGAACAAAGGCTTGCGACAAAAGTAAAAAATAACCCAAAAAAGGAGCTTCTTCCAACATGTTAAAAACAAGAAAAAAGTCAAGAAAACAATTGGTCCATTGCTGGGAGAAAGTGGCAAGCAGGTGACAAGCAACAGGGAGAAAGCAGGACTACTTAAGTCATTTTTTGCATCTGTCTTTACACAAAGGGAAAAAAACAGCTCAACCTATCAAAAACACAAGTTAAAATAGGGAAGAAAATGGTAAGTGAACACCTGTCTACCCTAGACGAGTTCAAATCACCAGGACCAGATGGATTACACCCCAAGGTTCTGAAGGAACTGGCAGACGAGATCTCAGAACCACTGAACTATATCTTTCAAAGATCCTGGAGCACCGGGGAACTGCCAGAGGACTGGAAAAGAGCTGATGTAGTTCCCATCTTCAAAAAAGGAAAAAAGATAGATCCAGGAAACTACAGACCTATCAGCCTGACCTCAATACCAGGGAAGATTCTGGAAAAGATAATCAAGCAACAAATCAGTGAACACCTAGAAGCAAACAAAGTCATAACCAAAAGCCAACATGGGTTTGTCAAAAACAGATCATGCCAGACTATCATGCCAGACTAATCTTATTGCATACTTTGACAAAGTGACAAAATTAGTGGACCAGAGGAATGCTGTCGATATAATTTACTTGGCCTTCAGTAAAGGATTTTAGACCATAACCTACTAGATAAAGTAGAAAAATATGGGTTAGGCAGCATCACCAACAGATGGATTCGTAACTGGCTGACCAACCACACTCAATGTGTAGCCCTCAATGGAACTGCATCTTCATGGAGGGAAGTATGCAGTGGAGTACCCCAAGGCTCTGTTTTAGGCCCAGTACTCTTCAACATCTTCATCAATGACTTGTACGAGGGGATAGATGGGGAACTCATCAAATTTGCAGATGACACCAAGCTGGCAGGAATAGCTAACATTCCAGAAGATAGGCTCAAGATACGGAAGGATCTTGACAGACTTGAACATTGGGCGCTATCTAACAAAAGGAAATTCAACAGTGAAAAAAGCAAGGTTCTACATTTAGGCAAGAAAAACAAAATGCACAGGTACCGTATATGTGGTACCTTGCTCAATAGTAGTAACTATGAGAGGGATCTTGGAGTCCTAGTGGACAACCATTTAGATAGGAGCCAGCAGTGTGCAGCAGCTGCCCAAAAAGCCAACACGGTCCTAGGCTGCATAAACAGAGAGGGATAGATTCCAGATCACGTGAAGGGTTAATACCACTTTATAATGCCTTGGTAAGGCCACACTTGGAATATTGCATTCAGTTTTGGTCGCCATGATGGAAAAAAGATGTGGAAACTCTAGAAAGAGTGCAGAGAAGAGCAACAAAGATGATTAGGGGACTGAAGGCTAAAACATATGAAGAACAATTGCAGGAACTGGGTATGTCTAGTTTAATGAAAAGAAGGGGAGACTAGGGGAGACATGATAGCTGGGTTCCGATATCTCAGGAGTTGCCACAGAGAGGGAGGGAGGGAGTCAAGCTATTCTCCAAAGCACCTGAAGGCAGGCAAGAAGCAACGGATGGAAACTAATCAAGGAAAGAAGCAACTTAGAACTAAGGAGAAATTTCCTGACAGTTAGAACAATTCATCAGTGGAACAACTTGCCTCCAGAATTTATTTATTTATTTATTTTGATTTCTATACCGCCCTACTCCCGAAGGACTCAGGGCGGTGCACAGCCAAACAATAAAACACATACATACAAAATTTAAAAGTAGAATTAAAATCAAATTTTATGTGTTTTTATTGTTTGGCTGTGTACCGCCCTGAGTCCTTCGGGAGTAGGGCGGTATAGAAATCTAATAAAATAAATAAAAAATAAATAAATAAATTAAATAGTTTTGGCCCAGACAAATTAAAACCCCGAACTATTTAAAACCAATTTTAAAATTTGAATATATGAAATACTAAAAAATATTAAAAATTAAAAATTCTTTTATAAAAGAGGGAGAAAATTAGGCCAGGCCCGCCTGGTGAAATAATAAGGTCTTTAGAGCACGGCGGAAGGTGCGCAGATCTGGGATCCTCCGTATCTCCAGGGGGAGCTCGTTCCAGATAGTAGGTGCCCCCACAGAGAAGGCTCTCCCCCTGGGGGCCGCCAGTCGGCATTGTTTGGCTGACGGCACCCGGAAGAGCCCCTCTCTATGGGAGTGTACCGGCCGGTACAGACTATTGGTGGCAGTAGGCGGTCCCGCAAGTACCCAGGTCCTGAGCCATGGAGCGCTTTAAAGGTGGTAACCAAAACCTTGAAGCGCACCCAGAAGACCACCAGGAGCCAGTGCAGCTCGCGCAGGAGGGGTGTTACGTGGGAACGCCATGTCGCTCCCATTACCACCCGCGCAGCTGCACTCTGCGCCAGTTGGAGCCTCCGGGTGCTCCTCAAGGGGAGCCCCATGTAGAGAGCGTTGCAATAGTCCAGGCGAGAGGTGACAAGGGCATGAGTGACCGTGCATAACGAGTCCCGATCCAGAAAGGGACGCAACTGGCGAATCAGGCAAACCTGATGAAAAATCCTCCCAGTCACAGCCATCAAATGCTCTTCTAAAGACAGCCGTGAATCCAGGACGCCCAAGTTGCGCGCCCTCTCCGTGGGGGCCAATGATTCGCCCCCAATAGTCAGTGATGGCACCAACTGACTATATCGGGACGTCAGAAACCACAGCCACACGGTCTTGGATGGGTTGAGCCTGAGCCTATTCCTCCCCATCCAGATCCGCACCGGGACATCACTTCAAGGGCATCGTTGGGGTGAATGCTCCAACACTGGAAGTTTCTAAGAAGATATTCGATAACCATTTGTCTGAAGTGGTGTAGGGTTTCCTGCCTAAGCAGGGGGGTGGACTAGAAGACCTTCAAGGTCCCTTCCAACTCTGTTATTCTATTCTAAATGCAATTCTAATACAAACAGTGATTTAATTCCCACATGGCTAGCTTGATCCAATGGACAAAGTCCCAGTTCTCTCCAACCTGTGTTGAGACACTCCTCCCAAAGACCCCTGGTGCTATGCAAATGCAATACATATACAACCGGTGTCTGAGTAAATAAGTAAAATTATTTCTGCTTGTGAGAATATTCTTTCTTCTTGCCACAATTATCATTAAATATGTCTTCCTATGAGAAGGATACTAGGTATTTTAACATTGTCATGGCCCCAGTAATTAAAGCAAAAGTTATGGAAGCAGTATTTTTATCTGAGGAGTTCATTGTTATTATCTTTGTACCAATATATCTAAAGTCAGTTAAAAGAATTTGTGAAACGTCAAATAGTTCCATAACTTTCTTTTGCCTAATTATAATATTTGCTACTGTGATTTTATATCTTCCTGCAATATACATCTTTTCTCTCTTGTTTCAAGGAGTTTCAGGAAGCAGACGTTATTTCATTTTTTAAAAAAATTAAATCACTTGCTATTAAAAATGATAAAGCCATTATTCCCCCACTTTCATACCCATCATAACACTCATACCATGAGCCTCTTTATTTGCTTCTTTCTTTTACAATTTTTATAACTCACTACATTTATGCTATATATAAACGGTATTTCATTTCGAGAACGTCATGCTGAAGGATAATTGGAATGTATTTTCCACTACAAATTCAACAGCCATAATGGCATTACTGTAGGATACAACTAGGTCTGTGATGACGAACCTGTGGCACGCATAGCCATATCAGTGGGCACGCTAGCTCAGCTCTGGCGTGCATGCGCGCGCCAACCAGCTGATTTTCAGGCCTTCTGGGCCCACCAGAACTAGGGAAACAGGCTGTTTCCTGCCTCCGGAGGGCCTGGGGGGGTAGGGAAGGCCCATTTTTCTTTCTCACCTGGCTCCAGATCCTCTCTATGCATCGGGGGAGGGTGAAAACAGCCTCTCCCACTCCCTCAGAGGCCCTCCGGAGGCCTGAAACAGCCCATTTCCCAACTCCCGGTGGGACAGGAAGTGACTTTCTTGCTTTCCTCAGCCTCTAGAGACTCCCAGAGAGGGAGTGGGAGTGGGGAAGAGAGTGGGAGTGGGGAAGGCTGTTTTCACCCTCCCCAGATGCATAGAGAGGATCTGGAGCCAGGTGAGAAAAAAAAACGGGCCTACCTGGCCATCGCGTGCCAGGAGCAGGGGGGAGGGGGGTTGCACGTGCAGGGCGGGGTGCATAGAATTATGGGTTGGGCACGTGCATGCATGAACCTCCCCTGGCCCCCCCATCCTGGCATGCAATGGCAAAAAGGTCAGCCATCACTGAACTAGGCTGAGCCCGAGGGAGGGATCAAATGTGTCATCAGTCTCGAGTCACTTTGCGTCCACAAGTGATCTAAGTCCAGCTCTCCTTGAATTCCTTTGGCTCTTACCTACCGCCAACTGGCTTTGAAGCTCTAAAGCTTCTAGAGAGCTTTAGCAAAGAATAAACCTATATATTCACTGAATAGCCTGGACTCCTGATTTCCTTCAGTTGACATTACTGTTATCACAATGAAGAATGATTTGCTGCATCTTATATTTCCTTCCCAATGGTAGCCACCTAAAAATTATGTTAATAGAAAAAGAGCTAGGGTTTATTTCCTGGTGTAACACAATAAAAGAGGTCCAGATTTTTTTTTAAAAAAAAAGAGTTGTTGTTTTTAGAAAAATGTAATGAATACATTGACATGATATTAAAATATAGTTCAATCTGATTATCAAAGCTATGCACATCCATTTAAGCTAAATAACTCTAAAGATAACCATCCAACTTACCCAAGACTCCGTATTCTGAAAGAGAGCTATTGCACACGGTATATGGAGCCTGCTGCTCCCACAGGTGATTCATAGGAACACAAGTCCTTTTGTCGACATTTTGATCATGCAGCACATGATGGCGATGGCTACCAAGGTTTTCAGCAAGCCAGTTGAAAAGAATTTGGGGGAAAAAATGCAACAGAGGTGTGAAACACTGAACATTTGGCCACCTTAAATGTATTACTGCAAGAAGAGCCTTGGTAGTACAGTGGTTTAAAGCACCCTGTTATTAACACAGCTGCCTGCAATTTCTGCAGGTTCGAATCTCTCCAAGGCTCAAGGTTGACTCAGCCTTCCATCCTTTCTAAGGTAGGTGAAATGAGGACCCAGTTTGTGGGGGCAATAAGCTGACTTTGTATAAAATATACAAAAGTATGAAGGCTATTGCTTAATGCATTGTAAGCCGCCCTGAGTCTCCGGAGAAGGGTGGCATATAAATCAAATTAAAAAAAAAAAAAAAAAACTTTCATTGAGTCCGAAAGGTGCTTTTCCCAAAGGCAACTGGACTTTGTTTTTTTTCTTTGAAAATGTTTTGCTTCTCATCCAAGAACTGAAGAAGCTTCTTGGAACAGAAGAAAAAGGTTTTCAAAGAAAAAACAAAGAAAGTCCAGTTGCCTTTTGGAAAAGCACCTTCGGGGCAACCATGACCTGGATGATAGAGAATCTCCATAGGCAATTTTGCTTGAGCAGCCTCTCTGACCACTGCAGGGATTTTTTTTTTTTTTTTTTGCTTTAATTTATATGCCGCCCTTCTCCGGAGACTCAGGGAGGCTTACAATGCGTTAAGCAATAGCCTTCATACTTTTGTATATTTTATACAAAGTCAGCTTATTGCCCCCACAAACTGGGTCCTCATTTACCTACCTTAGAAAGGATGGGAAGCTGAGTCAACCTTGAGCCTTGGAGAGATTCGAACCAGCAGTAATTGCAAGCAGCAGATATTAATAACAGTGCATTAGTCCGCTGTGCTACCAAGGCTCAGGTATTGGATTCAGGCCAAGATATGGTGGTTTGCCTTTAAGCAAAGGAGTTCCCAACCTTACATTCAACTTAAATCGGGGCTGTCCTTGCTAGCGTCTCACCTGCTTTCCCAACCTGAAGATCGCATATTTCTTTAAAAAATAATAATTTGGAGGAATGGGATGAAGCCCTTAAACAGGATGCTTCTGCCTCTCGGCCACCAAAGGTAACTTTGGCACCGTTGTTATGCAACGCATGAAGCTTTTCGAGTTAAGCAGTTATACTCCATAAAATATGAAGTGTGGAAGCTATTACACAACATGGCTGCTTTCCCTCAAATTACGGCTGCAAAATTCTATAGCTCATTGCTTTTAGACGTGAACAGTTTGCATCGTGCCTCCTTGGTTTCCACGTCCTTAAGCAATCCTCAAGACCAGGGCTTGAAAGAGCGCATTCTTTGCTACCCACCCTCCACACATTCGCTGCTGAGAGGCCCCTCGAGCACCATTAATCAGCATTAGAATGGGGCACCCAGGACCATTCTCAAAACAGAGACGACTGAAGTAATTACTGTAATCCATTAACTCCCCAAGCAAGACTAACTGAGTGAAACACACCAATATGTTCATCTTCTAGAACCACGAAAGAAAAAAAGGGGCCATTACCCTGAAAATAGCTATTCTGTGGACATATGCTTCCCCAAGCTGCAGGCAGGAGCTTTGATCTCCTGATGCAAAGTGTAACTCCGAAACAAACTAAGATGATAAAAAAAGGTTGACTCAAAGGTCAGAGAATGACTATGAAAAGCTAATTGAGAGAGCAAATTTAGCTCGCTTCTCACCTCATTTAAAAACAAAAGAGCAAGCTTGAATGCCGAACTTTCTTCTAGTCTTCAGACTAAAACAGGAACGAGTTATCCCATAATAAATAATGTTTTCTGTAAAGGGTGGGTAATCTTTGTCATTTTTACTAAACCATACAGAGAGAGAGAGACAACGATTCCTTTGGAAATTGTAAAATTCTAAATCATACTGTAATAGCAATTTCTGATGTGCTGTCCACATTTCTTTGAAAGCTGAAGTGAGAATCTCATCATCACAAATTTCATGCAGTTCCTTTCTGTTCTCCACATTTAAGCAAAAAAAAAAAAATCCACTCCGGACACTTCTAGGGATTCTTGCAGTCAGTTTCTGCAAGAAATTCGGAGGTTCGTATTCTGCTGCCCGTATAATTGTGTCTTGTTTTTAACTAACATTCCAAGCATTCAGTCGTGGTTTTCACTTACCTTCACTACCAGGTTCGGAACTGGGAGTTCATGTGCGGCGCTTCTGAGCATGCGCAGAGCCTTCCGCTGCCGCCGCTACCGGTTCTCTCGAACCAGGGCGAACCAGTAGAAACCCACCACTGCAAGCGTTAGAGGCAGTATGCATGCCAATAACACACCCTAATTTTGAGGCAGGCAAGTAAGAGCACCAATTCTTACTAAAATATTTATGTTTGTCCCAAAGGTGCTTTTCCAAAAGGCAACTGGGCTGTCTTGGTTTTTTTCCCTTGAAAATGTTTCACTTCTCACCTAAGAAGCTTCTTCAGTTCTGACTGAATGGTGGGGAATGGAAGGATTTATATACTTTGCAGTTCTTCGCAATCCTCTCATTCCCCACATTCAGTCAGAACCGAAGAAGCTTCTTGGGTGAGAAGCAAAACGTTTTCAAGGGAAAAGCCAAGAAAGTCAGTTGTCTTTTGGAAAAGCACCTTTGGGACAACCTGGATGACGGATTTCTCTCCATAAATCCTTTTATGTTTTCTCCCCAATGCATGGCAGACGATTGACAACTCACCTGAAAGTCCCCCGTTCTACATCCTGACCACTTAACCGGACATGGATGCCCTCTTTCAATAAGGACCCAAAAGCCATGTATTCTCCCAGGGCCCAGTCAACAACCCGGTTTGTGGTCATTTCTAGTCGACTTTTCAAAATCCGAGAAAGTCCTAAAAAAGGAGAAAAGGAGAAAAAAGGAGACCTATTGACTTGTTCTCACTCACAAAGCAAAACCAGAAGGAGGAAGGAGTTAATATTATGCTCATTCACTGCCTTGAGTTACTTATAAAATAATAAAGGTGGGGATAAAAATCTAATAAATACATAAATAAACCATCTAGATCAGTTATCTTAAAGAGCTGAAAGACATAATACATGAATTCCACGGTGGCCTCATTTAAACTTTTAATTCACTTTCCTTCTTGACTATTCTGCATTTCTGCTGGCTCCTACACTCCAATTGGACTCGCAAAACTTCCATGCAATTAAGTTCCTGCTAGGTTCCAGTCCTGTCTTATTATTTACCTTGTTGTTGTTAAATCACAGAATACTTTGAGTATACATATAAAGCCTCCTTAATCCTCCTTATACCTCATACCAGTAATATATTTGCATTTAAAACTGAATCCTTAGACCGGTATCTATCTTCCCCAGACAACTTAGCATTCATCTCTAAGTTTTGTTACCATTTTTAACCTCTGCCTGTTTGATTTAAATGCCTACCTTTTTATTTTAAATTGTGTTATTCATGAAATAAGCAACAAAAGAGCCTCGATGGTGCAGCGGACTAAAGTGCTGTTAAGTGCTAGCACTTAGCTGCCAGCTGCCTGCAATTAGTGCAAGTTTGAATCTCACCAGGCTCGAGGTTGATTCAGCCTTCCATCCTTCCGAGGTAGGTAAATTGAGGACCCGGATTGTGGGGGCAATGAGCCAACTTTGTATAGAACAACACCGCTTAGGGGGGCCCGAAAGCCCTAATAAGCAGGTATATACAAATAAGTATGCAGGCTATTGCTATAATGCATTGTAAGCCTAATGCATTGCTGCCCTACGTGCTGCCCTTCTTCTACGGAGAAGGGCAGCATATAAATTGGACTAATAAATAAATAATAAAATGCTGCAGAAATACTTATTAACAAATAATGCACATTCTGCATTTCATTAATGGAAGAATGAATGATTTGCTGAATTTGTGACGTTTCGCAACAGAAGCAAAGGCTCTGTTTATACATATATTAAGGCTTAATATTCATGAAACAAGCAAGATTTCACTTTGTTGCAACTGTTTCAACTCTAGTATGTCTGATAAACTAAAATCAAATCAATCGCCTCTTCAAAATTAGAAACATTTAGAGATGCCCATAAAGTAACACGCAGATGGTTACTTCTCAGTGACCCAGAAATGTCTATCTGGATTTAACCAAATATTCATCTATCAAACTTTCTAGCAACTACAGAACTTCTATTAGCCATACATCATATACATGGCTTCCTTCAAATGCTTCCTAATGAGTAATGATATTGTAATTTAGTAAGAACATTTTTGTTAATTGCATGCCACTTGGACATTAGAGAATTAAAGAATTATAATTGAAAGCATTGCAATAAAGGCTTCTCGGGAATTTTAATTGCCCAAACCTCCTGGGGATCAATCTCAAAGGAAGGAAAAAAAATAAATAAAATATAGCCAGCTGATTGAATAATTTGTTATTAGACCTACACAGCATGACTAGAGATACAAAGATGTGAAAATATGTTGTTAGTTCATGAGAAAGTTGACTCCTTAGAGAAGCCGGACAGTGGTTAGGAGAACCTGTTAAAGCAGAGGCTTTTTAAATGTAGAGATACAGAAAGATCAGAGTAGACACAATTTTTGATTTCCTTCACAACCCTGCCTTTCCGGCTTCTTTCTTCTTTCTACTTTTTTTTAATAGTCCATCGTGCAAAAAACAAAAAACTTTTAACTTTGCATGTTCGCTTGGAGGAATGCGCAGGTACAATGAGCTCCACTGTAAAAGGCACAAGACTTGTGTTCACGATCAATAAGAACATCTGCTATTACTGTATTTACTTTATTACCTTATTACTTCATTTACCATTGAGCTAGCACTAATTCCAATGCGATATCTGCCTAGGTCATTAAAGCTAATGACTTCTTCCTGATGGTTTCAGTTCAGTTTCTTAGAAAAGCACAATTAATGAACCTGACATTCAAATCCGATATTTGGATTCAAATAATGATGATGCCCACAGCTAGGGGAGTGAAGTGGGGGTAAATGCTTCCTCTTTGGAAAATCATCATTGGAACGAGGGAGAAAAAGGAAGTTTGCATCTTTGTGGGATCCAAACCCCAGCTGTCTGGAAGAGAAGAGAAGCTGAGGTTCCCAACCCAGAAGGAAGGAAGGAAGGAAGATGTTCCTCACCTCCGTGTATTTTGAAGCCTTCAAGGGGCACAGAACTGGCAACTTGGCCAATATGGGTCAGTAGCTCCTCGGGGATGCCTGTGGGAGGACAGGTCATACTCTTTGGTTCGCCATCCAAGTTAAAAAACCCTGGAAAATAGAGACATTTGGAATAGTATGCAAAACCATTGAGTCTCTCCCTCCCTCCCTCCCTCTTTGAAAGTCAATTGAGGAATTGCAGCAAAAGGTGCCATCTACAAATAACAAAAGAACAGAGTTGGTAGGGACCTCGGAGGTCTTCTAGTCCAGCCTCCTGCTCAAGCAAGAGGCCCTCGACCATTCCAGACAAGTGCCTGTTCAGTCTCTTCTTAAAAGCCTCCAGAGTTGGAGCAGCCACAACTTCTGAAGGCAACTTCTGTTCCACTGGTTCATTGTTCTCAATGATTGTAGGTTATAAGTATGTTAAATTCTCAGTTCCCATTTATATCTCTGCTTTCAGGCCAAATGATAAATGAATGTAACACTGATCCAACTTAATCCTTAATCAGAATAGAGCTGGAAGGGAGAGCATTGCTGTTCCACTTCGGGTGAAACCTGAAGTGGTGGAAACATGGACATGAGGGGCCTTTCCCTATACCTGAAATCTCCCTGATAGCAGCACTATCTCCATCTTCTCTCCTCTTCCCACTACTTCAGATTTCACCCAATGTGAAACGGGAATACTCTGTGAAAGATTGGATATTATTAGCTTAGGGCTATTCTGGTATTTCACTATCAAGTCATGGGGCTGCAGGAATGTCTACTTTCGGACTGCTTGACTCCTCTGTAAATCCAGCATTGGACTCCAGAGGTCCACCAGGGTTCAAATTTGTGTAAGTTTATCAAAATGCAGAAATAAAAAGAGAAACGAAAATAATGGGGGAAATGGGGAAGGGGGAAGAGGAAAAAGTGCAGGGGAAAGGATCAGAAGAAAAAGAAAAGCATTGAATCCCACCTGCCATCCCACCATGCAGCCCTGCTTTGCTTTGATGGCAGCCTGCCATAAAGTACGGGGGGAGGGGAGGATATGACAGGAACCAGAAGGGCCAACCGGAGACCACGGTTGAACGATCCAAGGATACAGGCATGGGAACGGAGTGGGAATGTCCACCAAAGAGACACCAAACTTTAGAACTGGTTTAAAACAACTGGTTTGAACCTTATTGGACATTACACAAAGATGACCAAGATGGTGGGGGAAGGCCTGGGAGAAAAGAAAGTTACTGGGTTTATGTGGGAATCCTCAGATCTGGCTTTGCTTATGCTGTAACCACTTGGCTTTTAGTAAAAGTATACCTTCTACTACAAATGGAAACTACAGACCAATCAGCCTAACATGAATACCCAGGAAGTTTCTGGAAAAGATAATAAAAAAAACAGATCTGCCAACATCTAGAAACAAGTAAAGTAATAACTAGCACGGGTTTGTTAAAAACAGATCATGCCAAACCAATCTTATTTCATTCTTCAACATAGTGACTAAATTAGTAGACCAGCGAAATACTGTGGATATAATATACTTAGACTTCAGCAAGGCATTCAACAAAGTAGACCACAACCTACTTCTTCGTAAGCTAGAAAAAAGTGGGATAGATAGCATCACCACCAGATGGATGACAAACCGTCCTCAACGAGTAGTCCTTAATGGGTCTAAGTCTACATGGAGGGAAGTAAGCAGTGGGGTGCCACAAGGTTCCGTCTTAGGCCCAGGACTCTTCAATATCTTCATAAACGACTTAGATGAGGGAATAGAAGGGGAACTTTTTTTTTTTAAATTTTTTAATTTGATTTATATGCCACCCTTCTCCGAAGACTCAGGGCGGCTTACAATGTGCTCAGCAATAGCCTTCATCCTTTTGTATATTTATACAAAGTCAGCTTATTGCCCCCACAAACTGGGTCCTCATTTCACCTACCTTAGAAAGGATGGAAGGCTGAGTCAACCTTGAGCCTTGGAGAGATTCGAACCCTGCAGTAATTGCAGGCAGCTGATCTTAATAAGCTTAATAACAGGGTGCCTTAAACCCCTGTACTACCAAGGCTCTTGCCAAATTTGAGGATGATACTAAGCTGGCAGGAATAGCTAACACCTCGAAAATAGGCTCAAGTTCCAGATGGATCTTGATAGACTTGAACACTGGGCCCTATCTAACAAAATGAAATTCAATGGAGAGAAAAGTAAAGTCTTACACTTAGGCAAGGAAAACCAAAAATACACATATTCAGGGGTGAAATGCTACCAGTTCAGACCAGTTCTCCAAAATTGGTAGTAATAAAAGCTATCAGTTCGCCTGAACCAGTAGTAAAAAAATGGTACTGATTCGTCCGAACCAGTATTTCCAGTTCAGCTGTGCCGCAAGATTTGTATTTGCTAGAAAGCAGGAAATCCTGCTTTCTAGCAAATCTAAATCATGTGGCACAGCTGTTCTCCCCCTTCTACTTACCTTCTTAAGCCTCCTTTTTCAGCACTGCGTGGTAGCACCTGTAGTACGGACATGCGCATAGCGCACATTTGGCGCACACTGCGCATGTGCCCACAGCAAACCAGTAGCAGACCTCGACGATTTCACCACTGCACATATAGACTGGGGGAAACCAGGCTTAGTGGCAGTGACTGTGAGAGGGATCTTGGAGTCTTAGTGGACAACTAGCTAAATAGGAGGCAACAGTGTGCAGCAGCAGCAGCCAAAAAAGCCAATGCAATCCTAAATTGTATTAACATCAAAATCAAGTGAGGTACTAATACCACTCTATAAAGCCTTAGTAAGATCACACCTAGAATACTGCATCCAGTTTTGGTCACCACACTATAAAAAAGAGGTTGAGACTCTAGAAAAAGTGCAGAGGAGAGCAACCAGGATGATTAGGGGACTGGAGGCTAAAACATATGAAGAACGGTTACAGAACTGGGCCTGGCTGGTCTAGTGAAGAGAAGGACCAGGGGAGACATGGGAGCATCTTCCAATATTTGAGGGGCTGCCACAGAGAGGAGGAGGGGGTAGCCTATTTTCCAAAGCACCCGAAGGCCAGACAAGGAATAATGGATGGAAACTGATCAAGGAGAGATTCAACCTAGAAATAAGGAGAAATTTTCTGACAGTGAGAACAATCAACCCATGGAACAGAAGTTGCCTTCGGAAGTTGAGGGAGCTTCATCACTGGAGGCTCTCAGGAAAAGATTGGACTGCCATTTGTTAGAAATGGTGTAGGGTCTCCTGCTTGGGCTGGGGGTTGGACTAGATGACCTACAAGATCCCTTCCAACTGTGTTAATCTAATCTTTCCTAAATGCCCAAGCTGGGACAAGCTTGACAATAAGGTAATAGCATACAACCTTAACTTTTACTTTTACATAATAATATATATTAGCCATTTCTATAATAACAAACCTATCTAAACTCAAAATCAAGCAGAACCCCAAATCAAAATTTTATTTTTTTCCCACCTCCTGCACAAAGTCCAAAAGTGGTTTCCAAGAAGAAACAAAGTTAATTATATTCTTTTCTTTAATCAAATTTATTGCAAAATTATTGCCAACTTCCGAGGCCGAAGTCATATCCTGAGAAAGGGCTCAACCTCTTATGCCACATGGGGACCCACCAATTAATATTATATATTCTGAGATATTATATATTTATTCAGACATATTGCCCACCCAACCTTTGATGATTTCTATGGAGATGAGAAACCACTTTTAGGCTGAAAAGACTTTCTGGCTTGGTGGTTTCAGAGACCTTAAGAGAAAGATAGGATTAGGATAGGAGGTGGAAAGTGAAATATTTTTAACCTCTTTTGTGGGAAGGGAGATTTGCTGAAGGTACCACTTCCTTTTTGCTTCTCAAACATGCTGACAACAGCTTCTGTCTTGTAAATTTAATATTTGAAGAGGCCCACAAAGGGACAGACATAGGATGATTAGAGAAAAATAATAAGAAAGCTGTCACCATTGCAAAGGATGCTGGGGAGTGTGTGTGTGTGTGTGTGTGTGTGTGTGTGTGTGTGTGTGTGTGTGTGTGTGTGTGTGAAAAGAGTCAAGTAGGCAGCCATAATTATGCCAATGGGACTTTGCTCCTTTTTTACATGTTTCATATGCCAATACTCTTGATCACCTCAACAAAAACAACATTTAACCAATCACAATGCATTATTTTAAAGTGTGGAAACATTACGGGCGCGATTAGCCATGCTTGGGGCAGTGGTGGGGGTGGGGGTACTGAAAAGCCGAGCATCTCAATGCAATTGCCAACCATCTTGTTACCTGGCCAAGGAGAATCCAGCCAGTGTTTAATATGGAGAATTTTATTATCTTTGGACCTGGTATAAGCTTCTTCACAGATCTTATCATACTTTGCAATTTCTTCCTGTAGAAGAGAAGGAGGGGGAGGGAGAAATCACAGACGGGAACTAGTGGTTCGATCAGAGAGTGAGTTTTTAACCAACTGTTATCCAGAATCAATCTTTGTCTCCTTTTTTGTATTTTCCCTTTTTTGGTTTCCTCTTGAAAAATGCTGCCAACCTTCTTGATGTGGCTTAAATCTTGTCCACAAGTAAATATGTTATCAATGCCAATCCACTGATTAAATATCAGTATGGGAAAGGAACCATCAAATTATTTCCGAATCTAAGCAACAAGACTAATTTAGCACACTAAGCGAAATGGTATCTGCCTTGGCTGTACAGATGTAACACTAACTTCCAAATGTGGTGTATCCAAAAGAGAGTAGTCATAGTCCTAGGCTCATATATAACAGAAAACTATGATTAACTGCAGTTTTCAGCAGGACAAGAAAGACTATTTGGTTGCAAGCATTCATCTACCTGACATTCTTCGGATTTTCCAAATTTGCATGAGTATCTTCCCATAAACACATATCAGAACTATGTGATGTATCAAGTGTATCAACCACGTCTCACTTATTTATGATTTATAAATCACATAGGAGGATATTCCTTGGAGGCTAATGATAGCCGTCAAAGACCTACATTCACAGTTCTCTGTGGAAGTTCTTGGACTTTTGAAGAACGTGTGCAGATTTTAGAAGGCCCTCAACTAAGGCCATGCTGGATGATGCCTTGATTCTTTGAAGAGCAGTTTAGGAAGGACTCTCCCTTCATAGAGACCCCATGAGTGAAGGAGCCTTCAGTCCCTGAGGTTACACCATTATATTCTAAAACTTGAGTCCTTCGGGAGTAGGGCGGTATACAAATTGAAATAATAAATAAATAAATAAATAAATAAAAACTGAAGTCCTCACTTGACCAATGAGCTCACCTGATGTTTCTTCAGACCTCCACCCCCTAATATTTCATCCACTATGAGGATAAGAGAGCCCCCTCCCCCTTCCTCACCATGAACAAGGCTCTCCAGAGGAACAACAGTGTAGACAAGCAAAAACAAATAAATATAATCCCATTGTGTTTTTTATCACCATAATACATAAGAGATTTCCTGCTTTCCAAATCACAATGAGTAGGATTCAAGATCAGGCCATTATTTGGGGAAGAAGACCTCAGGCAAGAGAAATGCAATAATAATTTAAATGACACCCGGCTACTCTTCTATAACAGAATCAAGCTTTTTGAAGTAACTCCGCTTAACAAGGTACCCACAATCTTTGGTGGGTCTCTCTGATCTGTTCTTGCTTCCAGTGACACTGGACTCCATCTCTCCGAAGTCCTGAGACACACAGAATGGATGCTGGTAATCTTTGAGAAGTTACCTTTGGGTTTAAGCCCCGTTTTAGAAATGGTGTGTTGTGTGCAACCGTCAAATCTTCCATCCCTTGTCCCTGATTTGCTTTTCACCTTTCTGGTTATTATTCACTCATCATGACTACTGGTCTTCGTTCTTGTTTTGCTTAACGTTGCTAAATGTTAAAATGTTACTTTATTTTTAAGTAACAACCTGGTTTCCACCATTAGTTACATATAGAAAAATAACGATCAGTGGAAAGATGCCCCAGTTGGAGCAACGGGTTCCGGCAACGTTCCTTGTCACCAGCACCACCACCCCCATTGCCATGGTCTACCTCAAACTCTTGCAGCGTGACCACCCCGTCGGCAATCAGCTGGTCAGCATACTTTTTCAACACCGGCACCTGCTTTGAAATCTGCTTGTACATCAGTGGTTGAGTGAACATGGGCTCATCCATTTCATTATGGCCTCGTCTTCGATAACAAACCTGCAGAGGAAGGTTGGGTTTTCATCAGGATGAAGTCCCAAAGATGCTTTTTTAAGAGGCCACTGGAATATCTTTGTTGTTTTTTTTCCTGAAGATGTTTTGCTTCTCATCCAAGAAGCTTCTTTAGCTATTCAGCTTCTCCTTGGATGAGAATCAAAACATCTTCAAGGAAAAAACCGTCCAGTTGCCTCTTGAAAAAGCACCTTTAGGATAAACATGACCAGGATGACCGAGAATCTCCATAGACATCAGGATGAAGTTGTACCGTATTCACTCTCTAAACAGAGCAAAGAAATTATTCCTTTCTTTTCTGATGTCTTTTTGCCATTTTCCATATAAAATGGTGTTCAAACTTAACTAAACTATGAATTGTTGATATGTATATATTTATTGCAATATTGCAGTAATTGCAATATTGAACTGCAAGGCGATCCAACCGGTCAGTCCTAGAGGAGATCAACCCTGACTGCTCTTTAGAAGGCCAGATCCTGAAGAGGAAACTCAAATACTTTGGCCACCTAATGAGAAGGAAGGACTCCCTGGAGAAGAGCTGGGAAAGATTGAGGGCAAAAGAAGAAGGGGATGACAGAGAACGAGGTGGCTAGATGGAGACACTGAAGCAGTCGGCGTGAGCTTAAATGGACTCCAGAGGATGGTAGAGGACAGGAAGGCCTGGAGGAACATTGTCCATGGGGTTGCAATGGGTCGGACATGACTTTGCAACTAACAACAACAACAACAACATATATTTATTTATTTGTTAAATTTATTTGCTGCCTATCTCACTGTAGGACTACCAGCCAGTATCAGAGGCTAAAGAAAAGTCATAAAAAGGAAGAAAAATGAAAGGTGTGTAAACAGAACAGAAGTAAAATAATAGAACAATAAACTAAATAATGACCCGTCAAGAATAAATACATCAGTGTGATAATCATAAAGATGGATGGGTGGGTGAAGAGCAGAGAGCAAGGCGGGGGGGGGGGGGGATAGGTGGATGCCATCAATCTAGCAATCACTTCCGGCATTGCATGTTCTATGTTGCTATCCACCCAATTGCAAGTTTTTAAAAAAGCAAAATATGAACCATTGGCAAGCATAAGCGGTATATTTTTAAAGAGAATAATTTCTTTGGTTTCCTGCAGAGTGAAGCATCTAATCACAGCAACCTGAGATCCTATTTTTCATTGACTTCTACATACATTTAAGAGAACCGTTCAGCTTATTCACACTGTCTCACATTCAGGACTCTCTGGAGAACTTAAGGACCACAATTTGAAAAGTACAGGCATTCCCTTCAGAGTCTAGGGGTCTAAAGGCAAGATTGTACTGATTGTACTGATGGTCTCTTCTCACAACAGCTTTGCTCCTGAGAAATTCCCAGAAGACATTTTGCAGCAGCACCAGCAGAAAACTCACTGAGAGGAAGGGGCTGCTTTAAAAAGCTCTCCTGTACGCATGGGAAGGAAGATTTTATGCACACATTGAGATACCCGTTTGAGTAAAGAATAGGAGCCCTCACCAGATCTATAACCACGTCTTTGTTAAAAGTGTTTCTCCACTCGGCAGCAACACTGCATACATACATCACTGCTTCTGGATCATCAGCGTTCACATGGAAGATGGGTGCATTGACTACCCGGGCCACATCTGTCGGATATGGAGAGGACCGAGCCATTCGTGGGTCCGTAGTAAAACCAATCTTAAAACGCGAGATAAACTGGTTAACCAAGTAAATGCAGTGCTCCTTTTCTTTCACTTCTCTGTAACGGAAAGTCATTCAAGTGGACTCATTGGTGCTCTTTGAGCTGGGTTGTTTTGCCTGCAGATATTTCATTGCCAAGTTAGGTAATAATTAAAAAAAAAAAAAAACCCACTGATGATGTTACCTAGCTGGCTCATGAAATGTCTACAAGAAAACCACCGGGCTCAAAGAACCCCGAGGACTCCACAATATAAACCTGAATTACAAAGATTGTCTTCTATTGGAGTCATTAAAGTGTCTGATATTTATATCAATAATTATTAACAATTACTAATAATTAATTTTCTAACAATAATAATCAAATGTTTACTGTATCAATAATCACTTAATCATGCAAAACTTTATAAACTTCTTAATTTATATATTCCACCATTTATCTTAATAACTTGATTGCTTTCAATTAGACATTTATTTCATCTCTCACAATTATGTTTGGTTCTTAATGTTTTTATATTCCAAAGGCTGAAAGTCTCATCTGTCTGTCTGTCTATATTATTATTATTACTACTATTATTATTATTATTATTATTATTATTATTATTATTATTATTATTATTATTATTATTATTTAATTTTATTCATTAAATATGAAACTCAGTCAACTGAACATTTAAAAATGCATCACAAATACCATTGACTGGGGCTAATGGTTGATATGGGTTGCTGCCAGCATCCTAGGTATCAACCAAGTACCTTCTTTCTTTTTTTTAAACAAGTTTTATTGGGTTTTTTCTTTTCTCCTCTCCCACCTTCACCCACATCTTTCTTTCTTTTCTTTTCTTTTTTTTTGAACAGAGTGTTGGTCATTTCTTATCTTATACAATTAGTCAAATTCAAATACATTTTACTCAATTACAATTTTTTTCAATATCTTCTTCCCCCTTTCCTTTTTTTTTGAATATATCTCAGTATTTCTATACTTGCATATATAAACACCTTCTTCATTTATCCCTAAATTCTAACTTTGCTAGTTGTACATATTTGTCCTCTTTTATTCTTTAACAATTCATTCTTTTTCCTAATATATTTATATTTGTTTGTTCAGAGCTGCCTTTCTTCCACTTCTTCTTCTTTTTTATTATACAGCAATCTCTCTCCTCAAACCTAACCTCTCCCTCCTTCCAACTTTTCCCCCCACCTTCTTCTTCTCTTCTCTACTTCCCCTTCCCTTCTCCTCCTCTCTTCTCCCGTCTTACCTTCTCTCCTACTCTGCTTTCCCTTCCCTTCCTTCCTCCTTACTCTTCCATCCCTCTCTCTCCTTCCTACTCCCCTCCAATTCCTTCATCTCTCTCTATTGCTGTATTCATTTTCAATTTAATGTTTTCCATTCTGGAGTTCAGGCAGCCCCGATCCCTTATCTTTTTAATTATTAACAATATATTTCATCTTATTCTCTTTTTTCCTTTAAGTCTTTACTCAAACACTTTTCTACTTTCTTGTCTTTTTTACTTTTACCAATATATTTTTTCTACTTTACTTCTTGCAAGTATAACATTTAAATCATTTTTATCATTTCAATTTCATTCAATTTTACATTCAATTTCAATCATTAAATATATTTCTCAAAACATTTTAACAATATATTTCCACTTATTCAAATATATATTTATAAAGCGCATCTTAATCCTTTCTCATTTTACCCAATCCGATTAGTTCTTAAAATATTCTTAATTTGTCTTTTTTTCTCTTTTTAACTATGTTTCAAATATATAGTTTGGAATATTTCAAATATTACATTTCCCTCAACTGATTTATTCATATTGTTAAAACTTATCATTCTATAAACCTCCAATATCCTTGAGCATGTGACATTTATTACAGTTTTCCCTTTGTTTCTACTTTTCTTTTCCTTTTTCGTATCTTTTCATACGAAAAGATACGAAATATTAATATTTTGTATCTTAAAATTGTGAAATGTTTGCCCTTTATTTCCCATTATTTTCCATCTCTTTTCCCTCTTTCTTATATTTCCACTGTAAATCCCAGTGTAATCATTTATATTTTTAATATTTTTCCTTCTCCTCGACCCTCTTTTCCTTCTTTGCCTTTGGTTTTCCCTTTTTCTTCCTTTCTTTTGTATTTTAAAGTTCTGCACTCTCCTATTTTGCCCTATATTTCCCATTGTTTCTCCTTTTTCTTTCCTTTTTTCTTTCCTTTTTCTTTTCCTTTTCATTGTTAATTCTAGTATGCTTATTTTGTATTTTAAAATCATAAAATCTTTTATTTTGTCCTTTATTTCTTATTATTTTCCATCTCTTTTCCCTCTTTCTTACCCTTCCACTGTTAATCTCAGTGTAATCATTTAAGTTTTTTGTATTTTCCCTGTTCCACCCTCTTCTTTGTTTCTTTTCTTTTTGTCCATATTTAATATTACAATTATTCGCTTTTCCATAGTCAGTCTCTTTGTCTTCTTCATTATCCACCTATCTTTCTTGTTTCTCTTTAGTCATTTCTTTTTCATCTTCAGCACATTCTAGTTCTGTCTTTGCCTCCTCAGATTTCGATTTTCCATGCAAATTTATAATCATTTCTTTTATTTCCAAACACATCGTCTTTATCAGTTCATTAAGTTCCTGTTCCATTTTATTCTTTCTGGATTGAGTTATTCCAGTTTTAAATCACATTAAGGTCCTTCTTTTATAATCATCAAAGTCTGTCCTCTTGCAGGCAAAACGTATCCTCCTTAGTTCTCGCCAGTTATCTTTTTTTAAAAGTTCAAGGTTTTAAAAGTAAAATAATTCCATATCATGCTCTTCCTTCTTCTGCAGATGTCTCTCTATAATCCACAGTTCCACTCATCTAATTAACAAATTGCCATTTTATTTGTAATCCACATCCATGGAGAAAAAATCCAGTTTTCACATCTTCTTTCACCTTTATATATCATCAATAAGTTTATAATCTGATTGTCAGCCTCCGCCTTTACAGCTTTGGCTGCCATAGTAACGGGAGGGGGGAGAGCTAGGTAACATGGGGGGGGAGGGTGCTGGAGGAATCTGGAGAAATCGAAACCGACAGTTAAGCTACCGGACTGTATCTTTGAAGCTGCCATCGGGCCAATGGTCGTGGCATTCCTGATTGATGATGCTGCCAGATGTGTGCTTCCACCTGACCCCTGGAAGACCTTTGGATTGGATGATATACAGTGGACAGTGGGAGGGGATGCTTTCTATATGCAATTTTCGCGGGTATTGCCTTAGATTCTGCTTTCCTTTGGTTGCGTTCACTTCATCTTCTAGTAAAAGTACCTTTCTCTTTAAACAATGGAGTTTGGGTCATTCTTTCCTGGACTTTGAAGGAAGCACATCTGACATTACGCAGAATCTCATCTCCAGCCATCCTGGATAAACACTGAGGGGGCTCATGTCTGAACAAGAGAGTGAAGGAGACCAGATGGGAGCTTCTGGCTCTACTATAATTTCACTTCAAGCGGAGAAGGAAGCTGCAGAATGGATGGAAAAAATTCGGCTGAGAGAGGAGCCAGAGGAAGCTAGATGGTCGAGGGGAGTAGGAAGGTTGCCGGACCTGGGGAGGACCCCCCAAGGAGTAACCAGCTCCAGACCTCATAAGGGAGAGGCGGTGTGGCTGCAAGAGCAAAAGGAGAGCCGCATGATTGCTCAGGCGATGCAACTCCTCCGCAATGCCGAGGGAAGCCAGAAAAGCCGTGAGAGTTATGTATTCCCTGTGGGGAAGGGAGGAGACTACCCCAGGCTGGATCCAGAAGAGACAGCCTGTGGGGGAGAGGAAGAAGAAGCTGGGGAAGAAACATCTCAGGCTTCTGGAGCTCAAGCGAGGCATGCAGCAGCCCACGGACCCCCAGCCTTGCAGGCCCCACCCTGCAGACGCAAAAAGCCAAAAATTCCCCCCGAACCGGAAAATATGATGGGAACCCAAAGACCTTGGGGCTTTTCTTGACCCAAGTGTGGAACCACATGCAGGACTGGGGGGAGGATTACTTATCAGATGCGTCATGAGTGAGATGCGTCACAAATGTCTTAGAGGGAGTAGCAGCTGAATGGATGGTGGTCCTCCACAATAATAACTCTCCCTTGCTGAGGAATTACAACCTGTTCATGGAGGCTCTTAGGAGGCGGTTTGAAGATCACCTAGCTGAGCGGAAAGCGAGACTCAGAATGAAGGGTATCCAGCAGGGCCGGAGATCGGTGGCAGAATACACCCAAGAATTTCGCGAACTGGCGCCCTACATGACAGGGTGGTCAGAAGCGGACCTACTGGAGAGTTTCAAGGACGGACTAAATGAAGACATATACAAAGACTGTAGAGCATGGGGGGTCCCCGAAGACTTGCAGAGTTGGTACGTAGTAGCTGAGGATGTGGAGATCGAACTGGCCCGAAGACGACTCCGAGGGGGCCGTGCAGGGGACCCGTCATCCTCCTTCTACCGCAAAGGAGCACCAAAGACGGGCGCAGGGAGAGCAGAATTCAAACCCAAATCGAAGCCCCTCACGTGCTTCAAATGTGGAAAGGAAGGCCATCGGGCCGCCAAATGTTTCTCCAAGCCAGTGCCAAAATCTACCAGCTCGGGACCAAAGAAGGCTGACAAAGCACCCGCAAAAGCTCGCGAAACCGCCCTGAAAGGAGAAGTCGTTGAGTTCACTCCCTGAAACCAGGGTGAGTTGGGAACTCCAACTACCGTGGACGACAGCGGGACGGACTCCAACTCCAATAATCTGGTGAGTCACACTGAGGGCCCCATGCTCATCCCCATAGAAATAAGGGTGCCGTCCACAGGGGCACATGCGCAGATGTTAACCCTATTAGATTCTGGGTGCAGCAGGTGCATAATCAGCCCGGAAGTGGTGGAGAAAATGGGCCTGAGGCTAAAAACATTAAAAAGGCCCATTGCGTTCTGCCAGTTGGACGGATCGATTGCAGGAGGGGGCCCAGCCAGCTTTGTGACCGAACCCATTGAAATG